TCAAAGTTTGATGCAAAACGCATGATCGCACCGGCTCGCCTGGTGCGTTCCAGCCTGGGTTTTAATTTGCTTGTTTTTACACGCTGATCTTAACCAGAGAGGGAGGGGAGGAAATTCCTTACCAAGTATAAAATCAGTTAGCGTCTTTCAAGAAACTGATAGTGCTTCAACTATTTTGTATATTTTATTTTATATATTTTGTTGAATTTACATTTACATTTAGATTCACCTATTTTTCAAAACATTAAACTGAAATGACCGCTGGCCATCTTTTCAGTATCAGTGATTTACGGTACAAAACGTGGATGCTGAAAAAAGCAGGAAAAGGAATTTTGACTGTCATGGAAAAAAGTTGGAGAAAAGAATTTTTGGGGTACTTTTCATAGCAGCCAGGTAACCTATCAAATGAACAGCATGAAAGATATCGCTACAACTACCAGACAAAGAACCCGATCAGCAAAACACATTCCTGGTCGTGATGATAACTGATAGACCTGGCATACCAGTAATCAGCATCCACAAAAAGGAAAACAGTTATTCAAGCAGCTCCCGAGGAAGTGGTGCACATACACAATGATAGTAACAGGTGCAAACTGGAAGCATACAACCTAGAAGAGAAGGGCTTGGCATAGTCGCATCCCGCATGTGATTGCATCCCAATAGCACCTCTAACACAGAATCTCACCCACATCGAGATTTCAGGTAGTTCTGGTAGCGCATTATACTATCAGTTATGAAAAAATATCTTCCAACTGTTCTTCTTCAAAAAACAAGCATCATCTTAGAAAGATTTCCATCACACCACTGCATTCTCATTCTCTTCGCATGACTCGCATTATCAAGCAGTACTGTGCACGGGCAATATGGTGTTTTGTGCTGAACGGAACAGCGGACAAAGCGGGGAGGAGGGGAAGGGGGACACGTTTGGCTAAACTTGAAGAAAAAAAGCGCAGCGATAAACTAACGTTTGCTACTTATTAATTTAAACAATAATAGCGAAGATATTCCAAATTTGCTATTCATTAATGCAGTAGCTTGTTTCCTTTCCCACATTCCTTCCTCCCTCTTCTTCCCCGCTTTACTCCCTCTTTCCGTCCTTCTCTGCTCCAGCTCCCTCTATAACGCTAGCGGTGGAACCTTTGAAATTATTCGAGGCCCTGTTAACCACATTCCTATTTCCGCTATGTACAAACATGTTGAGAAAACTAGTTTGTTTTCTGTTTCAGAACTTGCACACGATTGCGAAAGAAAAAATCAGTAACTTTATACGAGGACATTTTCATGGTCACTATGACTTCGATTTGGAAAGAACATTGTATATGTTTACAGCAGGTCGCTATGAGTTCATGAATAAAGGAGGCGATATGTTCATCGAGTCACTGGCCCGCCTAAATCATTACCTAAAGACAACCACGGATCCGCGATACAGAGATGTTACCGTAGTTGCTTTCATCATTTATCCGGGTATGTCTCTTACTGTGTTCCTCATTTTTATGCGTTTTTGCTATCTGGTACGTTCCAGCCTGGGTTATATGTTTTTGAACATTATTTAAATGTAAAATCGCATATTGACGAGAGGTTGCCAGTGTGTGTTTGTTTGTTCGGATTTTTTTCACACACTTTCAACTCAACAACCAGAAAAGCCATGAGCTGAAATTTCAAAGAACGTTCCTATTCTCTGTATGACGTGGCCAGCTTAAAAACAGCATTCACTTATACCCTTAGTTTTCTTGTTCGGTCGCATAGAATAAAATATATACATTTTTCGACGGGAAAACTATTTCTGGAACCGGACAAGATGGGGAAGTGAAACTTCACAACTATCCTTCTACGAACTATAGATTCCAAATTCAATCTTAACACACGCATAGATCACGCGCACGTGCACATCAAGGTTGAGATTGAAACACAGCTCACAAGCCAACTTCGGAACTAAGCTCTACAATACGCTCTGATTTCACGAAAACATTTGCTGTCTATGCGCATATATGTAAATGTTAAATTAGCTTTCGCATACGTCTTTATCATGCGTACGGGCAAGACAAATATTTATAATGAAGAAGCAGTTTACGGGACCAGTCAAGCTACGAAGCTGAAATTTTACGAGGATATTCAGCAGCCGTGTCGGGCTTAAATTCTTTAAATTCAGGTTTGCGTACGTCTAGTTCTCGCAAGTGCAAATAAACTTTCAGTTTTGGACAGTTTTGACAGTGCTTTAATTTTAGTCAGATTGTACAGGAATCCGCAATTTTACAAGAATGCGAGCTGTCCGTGTGTAATAAATAAGCTTTTGTTTACGCACATGCTTTGCACACGAATGCTTCAAATGCCCAAACTGCAGCACTTTCGTCATCCTTCTCTCATATCAATCAAACAGGCGAGAGCAGGCACAAATTTTGCGAGAATGTTTGCATATTTTTCCCTTCACTAAGGCCATAATTTTAGTTATCAGAAGTACCTACGCCACATGTCCGTAAACAGCACGACTGCGGGTGCAAAACCATTGACAGTTCACGGTTATGATGCACACCGAAGATTAAGATATCACGCGGCTGCGCAGTGCAACACTTTCATTCCAGACGTTACCTGACGCGTCTCTCCCACTACGTGTCGCAAATAACCAAAAGCAATGTCATCATGAATGCACATGTTAAAATGCAGCAACCATTCATATTATTATTGATCTGATTGCTTCAAAGTTTTTGCAAAAATGTTTGGTCACACTGGCAGTCCTCGTGCGTGTTGCTACTGATTCACAGATTTTAGATTTGACACGTGAACTTCACTGCATTTTGAGATGAAATTCATGGAAAAACATGAGTCTTGCAGAGATCTGATTAACAAAGTCCTAGTTTATATGATGGCATCTTCAAATTTAGCAGCGGCGAGCTCATTTAACGTGGAGTCGCTGAAAGGTCAAGCAGTTGCAAAGCAGTTGCGCGATGCTGTTGACAAAATTAAGGAAAATATTGGCTCGAGAATGTTTGACTCTTGTTTGAAAGGTCGCATACCGAGCATGGATGAACTATTGCTACCAACCGAACGCATTCAGGTATTCCATAACCAGAAATTCTAATTAGTGCTCATGTCACTGAATAAATTAAGATGAAAATGCACATGCACCTAAGCTGCCCAACTTTTAAAACTATGAGCAACAAAATTTCCACTTCGTCGCCCTTGTCGAATGCAACATTTGACATGTTTATTTAGTTGAAACGATGTATCATGGCAACGGCGAAGCATGAATTACCGCCGATATGTACGCACAATATGCTGGATGCCGCTGACCCAGTACTTTGCGCACTACGCAGAACGCAGCTTATTAATAACCGCAGCGATCGTGTTAAAGTTGTCTTCCATCCCGGTATGCTTTCGCTGTTTGTTTTGCTCTTGCTTTTCCGTTTTTTAATGTAACGATGCTTTTTCACAAATTCTGTAAAGACAGATAATTTATGAAAGTCTACTCGCTTCATTCAGAGCGTTTTAATTTTTTATCGATGTTATAGCTCATAATAACCTCGTATTCGATTGATGCTTTTTCTCGAAACATTTTATATGTTCCTAAAACACGATTTCGGGCATTGCAGTGTTTGCTTTAATTGCTTTTCTGCCTTATTCCCTTGTGACTGCTGCGTCCTTATCAAATATATTATGTGTTGGGGACGCTCGGTGTTGGATGGAGTGGGGGGAGGGGGGTCAGTGTTCTTTCGGTTCTCGTTTGTGCTTGGCATTTGCAGATGTTC